GGGCTAGTCTGGGGCAGCAGAGCCAGCCAGTGGCTGGGCAGGCAGGAGGACGGGCTGGAAACCTTTCTAAGCAGGGGAGAGGCAGGCAGCCCTGTGGGCAGCGATAACTCTGCAAAGTCCAGGTACCACCCTCAGCGCCTTCAGTGCTTGAGGAGGGACAACCTTCTTCCAAATGTCCAGGCATCCTCATGGTATTCAAAAAAAAAGAAAGCAGAGTCTCAAGTTATTGCATCTGCTGAGAAGGTAGCATTTCACTTAATGCTTTAATGCTGTATTTGCAATTTTTTCCCTTGGGCTTTAGTTGACATCATACAGACACAAGCTAGAAAAAAGGTAAATCAAAAAAAAATTGTTTTTCCACTCCTAGAAGAGGCAGTATAATGTTCAAAGGCCTATATAAGTACCTGCGTGTAGGAATGAAAGTCTAATTTGTACCTGGACCTGCCGGGCGAGCTTGACAAGGGCAGCCCCCCCTCACCCGGCTGGCCAAGCGCGCCCGCCCTCGCACAGCTCCATGAGAGCGGATTTGGGCATTTTTGGGGAAGGACAGAGGGGCTGCGCTGCCAGGGGGAAACCGCTCAGGCTGGCGGGCAGAGCTTTGAATATATTAATCCCTTCCGTGTGTGTAAAGGGAGAACCATATTTACACACTCAGGGAAGTGGGATCAGCAGAGGCATTTCAGTGCAGGCTTTTTCATGCGTTCTATTTTCACGCAGCCATTGCATGCATTTCATTGCAGCTAGGGGAAATGGTGAACCCTTGGGAGCGACACGACCTTCTCCCTCGTCTCTGTGGGGTATTGTGACACCCAGTCTACCACCTACAACACGGCGAAGTGATTTTTCACCAGCCTGAAACAACAATCAATAAGCGAGAGGCGGCGTGCCAACCCGCCCCGCCGCAGGCACTCCACGGCAGGCGTTAGGCTCCCACTTCCCGAGGACCGTGGGCATCAGGCAGAGTACACAGTTTACCCTACTCGAGATGTCAGCTCAAGTGCTCTGCAAACAGACTCAAGAGCCTCTTGTCAGTGGTACAGAGACGGCGGCCCCCGCTTCTGTGAGCGCTTGTATTAACCGAAGAGCATTGAAGAGCTCGCTGGGAATTGCTGCCTGATGTGGCAGTTTTTTATCGCCGTTTGCCTTCCGTTCAGACCCATTTGAAAATATCAGCTCTATACTGGTCGTACTGGTGGGGTCTGGATCCTGGTCCCAACACCGGGCTCCTGGCAGCAGAGCCGGGGTGCTGAGCCACATGGAGCTCCCCGCACCGCGTCCCGCTTCCAGCCCTTCTTAGTCCTCTCCTTGGAGGACACGGTGCTTTGGGAGGAGAGCAACGGGGAAGCAAGGTGTCAGCTGTCCTTCCATGTCTCCAGACTAATGTCATCAGCAAAACCCATGGCATCAATAAGGAAAAGGTGCCTGATGTCACCCCCAAGGTTTGCCTTCACCCGGTCTGTTGGCTCTCATACAGCTGTCCTACCAGCATAATCAATAGCTTGCTACACACACTCCCCTTTTTGGACTAGCTAAATGTCTCTGAAAATTCAAAACAAAGCTATTTCATTAAGCTTTGAAGCTTTAAGCAAGACAGACTCCTTTTTCTTGTCGCTTGACATACATCTATCACTGATGTGACAGACAAACCACAGCAAGATCACGGTACTGAAATTTTCGCTCAAAGTGTGATGTCTTTTATGGTTGTTGAATCCCACGAGAGTTGTGGAGGGAGGAAGATGGTCAAACACCCATGAAATGAGCATGGGCAGCCTAGCCTGCAGCAGAGGCTGTGCCACTCTTGCAAGATTTACTAAATTCAGGGTTGATGAAATATAAAGATATGCTAGCTGTTAAAATAAATAGCTGAAGCAGCCCATTATTCAAAGGCTTGGCCAAAATATTCAAAATTCTTGGCCATAATTGTGCAGACTTTTACAGAGTGGCAAAAAACATCTAAGAAAAAGGTCATTCCTCTAAATTTCAGTGCACTGATCTAAACCACATGGGTATCAGAAAGCTTCAAAAAAAAGGGTGCCAGGATCTTTTACCTGGGAAAAAGTATATTTTCCGCTCACTCTGTTTTCTAATGTAGCTGAAGTGTTATGGCTGTTCTAAGCACTCCCTTGTTCCTAAAATGTGTACTATGGATTCAATTATATTAAAGCAAACGATTCTGAGAATGAAGACAATGTGAATCGGGTGTAGTATCTATGCCAATGTCCCCTGACGTGTGGCACCTGTGCAGTCTCCAGAGGACCCAGGATGTGGTCCAGCAGATGCAGCCCTCTTAACAGATCCTCCCACTCCCCAGGGGTTCATAGTCATGCAGATTTATCAGTCTACATTAATTTTGGGTTGTATCCCTCTAAGCACACACCAAATAAGGTTTGTGGTTGACACTGTTTCTCACCACAGATGCTGAGACGAGAGGAGTTTAATGCAGAATTCTAATTAAAATAGACACTGCCTGTGCTATGATGGAAAGTTTCCTTTCCCTTTTCCCCAACCTCTTCAACCATCACCATAGAGAGAGCGTTATCTGTGAGCTTCGCTCCATCCTCGCCCCACCACCAGTGACGGAGGCAGACCACTTACCTGTTGCCTTTTCAGGGTTATTGCACATGAAACACTGCCAAGTTCCCGCTTCCTCGCTGTAGCCAAATAAATCAAAGAACCTCACTTCTTCCAGGTGCATCTGCACGTGGTCCAGGTCCTAGGCCAATAAGGAGAAAAACCAAACTCACTCACGAGGTGAACTGCTGCACGGTTAACAGTTCGTAACTCCAAATCACAGAGGGATGCACAGTGGGCACCAATGCGTGTCCCTTTCCATATGTCTCCTGCGGACAAACAACACGCTGGGGCAAATGTGCTAAGCAGGACGTATATCTCTCTGTATCATCAGTAGCAGCTAATATATAAATTATTTATTAGTCGGTAGGAGGCAGAGGACTGGTCTGGGATTTTTTTTTGCTTCTCCAACATTACTGCCAGCAATGCGCTCAGCAGCCCTGCCCAGCACGTTTCCCACCAGCTGAACCACCTTTATTACCTCCAGCCCTCTCTCAGGATTTTTTCAATGATCCAGGAGGCAGTGGACTCTGCTAACACACTGCAGCACTGGGCATTTCCTCCTGCCCAACTGGATCCCCCATCAGAGCAGGAGTTAGTGGCTGGGGATGACTTTATTTTTCTTTTTTCTTTTTTTTTTTTTAAAGAAAGAATGGAGGTGCTGAACCTAGCCCCCTATGAAAAGCACTAATACAAATGTTCAATATGAATGTTAATATGAACATTTCCAAAAACCACAGCAACAGGACTGGTTTAGCTCACAGAAAGCATACCCAGGTAAATGTGATGTTATTCTGCCAGTTGCAAGCCAGGGAAGTAAGGATTACGCATCTGCAAAGGGAACCGAATGTCTGACTTGATCAAAGAAACCTACAGAAAGTATACCTGCAGCTTCAAGCATGGGGAAAGCCAGAGGATACTCCTTTTGAGGTAATAACACTGTATAATTCAGTGTATTTTAAACTGTAATTTTAAAACAGATTGTGATCTCACACTTAAACAAACGTTGGCGTTAAATAACAGCAACCAAGTTACTCACTGCAAACACAAAGGGAATTGCCAGGACCGCTCAGAAAACACTCATTTATTTGCATGGGATCTTCACAGATCTCCAACACCGCGTGCTGCAGCCCAGAGAAAACATGGATTTATGCAGTCAGTGGGGAAAATATCATCCCTTGCCAGGGACATTAGTTCATTGCACTGAACAATGCTGTGCAAAGGACGGAGTTGTTCGATTTGGGCCTCTTTAGACAAGTTTTAGTGAAGGAGAGGGAGCAGGAGGATGGCTGGCTCAGGGAGACCTGCGGCACGGCGTCTCTCCTCCCCAGCCTCTTTCAACCTGGGAAATGGCCGGGAAATGCCTGTTTTCACAAGAACCGAAACACCCGAGACCACTTCAGACCTCTGGCCATTGCCCCGGATAACAAGCTCAGCTGAGCCAAATGTCAAGTTTTAACTTAACGGGGGCTCTCAGGAGCTCCCACCCTCTGCACGCCGGAGACCATCTCCCAGCGGATTTCAGGCTGGCTGAAGGAAGGATGGCAAGGCAGAACGGGGAGCACGACTCACATCACCTGAAAAGCTCCAAATGACAAAGCTTTTCTTCCCTTTCCAACAGGAATATGCAGAGAAGTGGGCTTCACAACACATGGGAAGACAACGATCACACGATGAAGGTCTTGGACACGTGCCGGGGTCTGGGCTGTATCTGTACCTCTGCGCAGTCGGCTGCTGGGCTGCCCTGCCCCAGCACGCTCAAACTGGCTTATACTGGGGATTGCGGGTGAAACTTGATTATTTTGCTCTGTAACTGTTCTTTATACATTGCTGAAGTTCTTATTTTCCTCCAAAGAGGAATTCTATACATTCAAGGAATTTAGCTGGCTGCTGCACTATGCAGCAGGAGCGTTGTGCAGCTTCTCTCCGTATTTCTCCAGCTGGTCGGTCAGCAGCAGATCTGACAGTCCGAGGCTCCCTGCCTCCCTTCAGATATTTTGTGCGTGGTGTGGGATCCCGAGCAGATCCTCCCCGGGCAGAAGAGATGAGTCCTCCGGAGGGACAGACCCCAGCAGTCCCCCCGGTGTCTCCTCCCTGCTGCGGGCTCCCGACGGAGGGGCAGAGGTCCCAGAGCAGAGCATGGCCAGCAACACGCCCTGCCCTGACGTGCCCTGATCCTCCTCCTGCCCTGGCATCAGGGAGGACACAAGATGGGCAAAATAACCATGGTACGGCTCTCAGTGGGACTGTGCAGGACATTATAAGGGCACGTGGATGATGCTGAACAGAAAGCCTAGGAGCTTCTCCATCCTGTGAAAAAATCTTTTTGTGGCTGCGATGAGCCAACTCTAGACTGGAAGAGAACAAATATCACTGAAGTATCAATGCAGCAATCATTCTTTTCCACTCTACTCTAGTACACTTGAAATAATCTGCAATAAGCCACTTATTTCAGGAGGGGAAGCACGGGGAAAAAAGCCTAATTGGAGAGGAGAGATTTATCTCATCCCTATGCTCCATCATCTCGAAAACTTCAGTGACTCCATTGTGAAAATGTGGTGCTTCTTTCTGCTGCATAAACTGAGATAGCAAACGAAGGAAAGGCAAGAACAGAACTAACAATGGCTTAAAAATGTTAATTATTCTTTTGCAAGGCAGCACAACAAAAGACTCCCTTAAGGCATCACATGGGGCTCGTAAAGTAGTCACCGTCTCGCGCTCTGACACAGCATGAGTCAACACAAAGAATTCAGCAATGAGCTCAAAACCGGCTTAGTTCTTGTAATGTGGCCTGCGTGAACTTTGATAAAGAACTATGAAGCAACCAAACGGAAATCTGTAAGGATGTACATCTGGAAATGCTTTACTTCTGGCACATCTTAAGCCATGTTGTATAAATATTTTTTGTGGCATGAACAGGCTGCCTAGTGAAACACAACATGCTTTCTGTAAGCCAGGTACTCGCTGCAATTCCTTACGCATCCTGGGCCAAATTCAGAAATCGCTTACAGTGATGTAAATCTGAAACTATTTCTCAGAATTTACTCTAGAATAAACCACTGATGTAATAGATTTTTCTCCAGGTTTACACAATGCGTTGGAACACATCTTGAAAAAAAAGTCTAAATTTGTTTACTCCGGATTAGCCAGAGGGTTGCAGGGCAAAAGCGGAGCAATTGCAGAGCGGTTTTGCAGCGCTGACTCCACTGTGGTTCCTGTTGGCTGCGGTGGGTCGGACCTTCCCCGCCTGCTCACAGCAGAGAAATTCCTCAGTTCTGATAAAGCATCCAGATATTGCTGTCACACAACACATAAAACTTAATATAAAATATAATACAGGATGCTGACACTGCATTTATATCAACAGATTTCAAAATATTTTAAATTAAAAGTGCTACACTTATTGAAACAACCTCAACCCCGTAATTTTGCTTCCTGCACTACTGGCAGAGGAATAACATTAACAACTACAATAATTTTGTCAAATCATTCACAATATTTAAAGTTCTATTAGAAATGGGAAGAACTTCTGAAACGAAAATTTCAGATTACTGCAGAAGCTTAGTCTGTCAAGCAGAGTAAGGACTAGGTCATGCCAGGAATGCTCCAGCTAGATTTTTTTCAGAATGTAAAAAGCTAAAGGAAACCTTCCCAGATCTCGCTCCCAGAAAACTCAACGGGACTTTTCTCAGTAAACTGAATGGGAACAAACTCAGGTACCGAGCAAGACCAAAACTGAGAAAGTAAATCCAGCAGCATACTGCAGAGATCAAGACTGGATATTAAAGTCTTTTACCATTTCAGATGCATCACATCTGCCTGACTGTCTTCAGCCTCTGAAAGCTGTTAGGCAATCTGCAGCTCCCGGAGTTTCCAAACTTCAATTCACTGCTTAATTCATTAAATCAGTGAAGATCAGTATCTCATTTTCCAGCTCCGCTATTTTGGGAACTCAGAGATACTCTTAATGTCGTGGAGTGATGAAAGTTCCCAAAATAGGCCAAATGCTAGTATCTGAGCAGTAGTAGGATTATGCAAGTGATGCGCTGGAGACTAATCATGTTTCTAGAGTGTTGGACATGTTTTGTAGACTTTGTGTGCATGATGCACTCCATCTAATCCTACCCATGAAGGCATGCTCTTCCCTAAGCTCTTTATTCACCCCAAACTCTTTTACACTCCACCAGCTCTGACTTTTGACTAGTAGATCTTGGCACGGACCCAAGTTAAGCCAGTATTGAACAGAAAAGCAGTCCTAATGCCTTTGGATGAGTCAGGCTAGGATTTCAATAGCAGCTAAAATACTTAGCGCAAGCTCCACTGTGTCTAAGTAAAACTGGCCCATAAGCTGGGTCTCAGATGTAGGGATCCCCTCTTCTCTTAAAAGCCACAGCAGGAGTTCCCACTTCAATGCAACATTATCTTGGGGGTTCAGAAGGTGTTTCTAACAAAACTCCTATTTTTAAATCAGCCATAACCTTAGTAAATCAATCTTATTCAGTCAGACATCTTCATGCATACAATATTCTGAGAGAGAGAGTATTCTAAAATCACGTTTGACAATTCATTTCATCCAATTGAGCTGGATGGAGATGTTCAGGAATAAATAGATACTTATTTTACAATCCTACAGCGTGCTTTTCCAAGAAGCCTGATTAATAGCTTTGAAACAGCATTTGCTGAAATCCCAGAGACAGTAAACAGCTTTGAAAGAGTAATCTTTTAAACTGATGGGGGTAACTAATGGTGCATGTACAAATGATCATTTCCATAAAATCCAAGTCTGTGTTTAACTAGGTGAATTTCCAAGTGGCTGCCAAAGAGTCCACAGTGGCAGCTAATCTGAATCTAGAGTTTGAAACTGCAAGGGAAAAAATCCATATGTAGCATCACTACTTTTCATCATGTCGGGAACAATCCACATGAAGCATGTAGCAGGGGGTGGAGAACAAGCCTGGAGACCTTTCAAAGCACAGTACAAAACTCCACTGCAGAGGCTGAAAAATGTAACGGCTGGTGAACGTTTTTCAACCTCCCCACAAGCTGAGTGCTTCATATAAAAGGGAGGTGAGAGGCATACACTGGGGATCACCATATGGCCATCCAGGAGAGGACTTAGCACGTCACTGGGTGCAAATGCTCGGAAGATGTCGGAGCTAAGGCAAAGAAGGGGAAGGGGCAGGGAAAGGGGGGTTGTTTTTCATGATTTGAGCACAGCAAAGACTTGCTGTAGCTATTGTAAAGGCCTTTGTACAGCTGTTCTGAAAGTCAGGGCAAAGTTCTTCTACTATTTTGGGTTTTTTTCTGAGAAAAAAAAGCTTACCTTTTGGTGTGGAAACGTAGACTGGATCATGGCAGTTTCAAAACTGTGCGTCCCCTTGAGCTGTGTCTTCTCCCACAAGGCCTTAAGGTCTTGCACAGAATTACTCTGTATGGACAAAGGTTCTGCAAACAAGCTCTGAAGAAAATGTTGAAAACAGGATTTCAAATATTTTTTAGTTGGCCATTAACAAAGAGCATCTTGTTCTTACAGCAGGACAGCCATGCAAATAACCAGGGACTAGTTCATTTCTCTGTAAGGAGTTACGACGGATCAGAATGCACACAATTAGATAAATCCTCAAATATTTCATTTCCTTTGGGCCTTTTTTTATTGTACATTACATGCTTTTAAGGTCTGTGGCTCACCAAAACTATCTATCATCAACTACCACTACTCACAGCAACTTGCATGTCATTTTTGTATTGAAATGCTAGTTTATCAAGATCTTAGCAGCACTGGCCTCTGTGAACCAGGTGTAGATCTCAGTGACATGCATCTTTTTGGAAAAGACACGTCATTTACCAGTTAAGGTGAAGAGATGCTTAGCACCGCTGCAGGTTTGTGTATGTTTATTTGGACCTGACTGCAGCTCTTGGTCCTTGTGTGGGGAAGAGTAACAGTGCATGGTTTGCAACTGCACTGAACACACAGTGGGATGAAATGCAAGAGAAGAAACTCCACAGGACGCGTTCAGCACATATTTTGCTGGCAGAGGAGAGGAATTTTCATGCCCTGAACATTCACAAAACAAGATGAAACTTGTGTTGGGTTGGGTGCTGTCACCTCCAAAGCTCCCCATTTCAAAAGACAGCAAGGATACAACCTAATCCTGCCTTGAATTATTCTAATATTTCAACAGCATTAAGCTCCCCATCGTACAAACTGCACACAAAGTCAATGTTACAAGAACACTACTGCAGCTGAGAGCACTTAGCTTTTCTGCCTCTACTATATCTGCTATATGATCTTGTAATTAAAAAATGCATTTGCCTGCATGAGCCAAGTTAAGAGTGCACAAACAAATCTGATTTTCCATATTTCAAGTATTTGATTTCGCAATATGAACAATGTTCTTTTAACGTAGGTTTCCTGGACGGACGTTCCTTCTTCTCTTTCTAAGCAGAAACCCAGCAATCCTAATCCCACTGTCTGGCATCCAACTGACACAGACACACTTCAGTAAGACTCAACCAGGAATTTTATCATGGCCAAGGCAATGCATTTTTTCCAGCTAAGCTCTCAGAAACAGCCAGATCATTATGTCCAAAGAAAAAAGGGAGAAGCAGTCAGCTCCAGGCAGCCACTGGCACGAGAAAGGGACACGTCGGGCAGCCCCTTGCTCCTGGTGCTACCACAGCAGCGTGACACTGTCCTGCCTGGTGAGCAAAATCAAACCATAAATCATGTAGCATTAGAGGATTATTTTAATGGATGAGTCTGTGAAACTAAGCATCCTGTCTATCAAATAACCTAACATCACCCCTTATTCTAATTTTGTTCCTTTTGTTAATCGTTGATTAACTGTAAGACAATTTCTCAGATCTTCACTGACATATCCTTCTCTCCCTACTACCCTGCAGTAATAATTTGCCGTTTCACGACTTCCATCCAAGGGTTTCAAAACATGGTACCACTATTTGCTAATATTTTGAAAATTAAATAGAAAGCAAGGTCATGAAGTTAAGGATCTGTTCTGGAGACCTGAGAGAAAAAGTCTCTCGTGCTTTTACTTTTGCAGAATGCAATGTCAAACAGACTATGGAGCGACTGGCAAAAAAGGAATAAAAATACAGTAACTAGTATTGAAATCTTCAGAAACCATATATTAGTTGCCTGTCTGCAAATCTATGGCAGATCTGCTGAAAACTACATTTTTATCGCCAGCCTTTCATTTAACTTATTATTAACATACTATAAATACATTTAATGTCAAATTTATCTCTTGTACAATTTCACAGGCTTAAATAACATTATCCCAGAGCTGAATTTAGTGCCCTGTATTTAATTTAATAATAGTTATACATCCAGTACTTAAAAGCTTTAGGATTTTGAGCAAAAGAAAAGCATAAATTACCTGACATTAAACACTATCCTGATGCATGGCAGACTCGAACACTCAGTGCAACACAAGAGGAACCTTGATTTTTCCCCCCATAAAAAAGCATATTAAGCACTGTGTTTACAAGAGGTTTGCAAAGACACAAACTAAACTACATTGCTTCGAGCCTGGCCCTGGTAGCATGGGGGGATTCTGCTGGGGGCTTCTTGGCACAGGAGCCCGGAGCCAAGGGTAGGACTGGCAGAGCCGGAGCAAACTAGCAAGACCATAGGGAATAAAAGCAAAGCTTTGGAAAGAGCAGCTGCAGTGGGACAAATGCAATTCCCCAGCCCGGGGCAGGGAAAGCTATGGGAAACGGGGGGACCAGTGTTTGGGAACAGCGTCCGAAGGAAGCAGGACCCAGCAGGGGCATGCAGGGATGGGGAAGGGGGGCAACGGGCACCTGAGCGCAGAGGAACGGGGAAGTAAAGTAATATTGTCCTTGTGAGCTGGGAACTATGCGAAGCTCTGTAGTCCTGATAAAAGGTGGAACTGGCAGGGCCAAATTCAGCGTAACCTGGGAAAGGGGTTAAAGAGAGAGGTTTTTCAATGAAAAACATATCGAGGAAAAGTGAGGCACCAGGGATAAAAGGTGGAATCAGTGATTATGTTGTCAGAGCAGCTGATTCAAACCACGAAGCGCAGATGGAGCAGAGGTCATTGCATTAAAATCCGGCGGCAGGGGCAGCGGAGGCTGGGCCATGGGGAGCAAGGCATGCTGGCTCTGCCACCCCTCTCCTCTGCTTCGGCTCCTCCTTCCTCCTTTTTGTGCATTTTGGTACTTTTTGTCCGTATTTTTCAACATCTGTTTTCCTCCCATCAGGAATAAAATGATATATTTGTAACAATTCATTTATTCTCCCTAGGTCCTGTGAAAATTCAACCTCTTTCTTCAGGTTTTCATTTACAGAGTAATTCACCTCCTTTATCTTCCCCTTTCATCTTGTCTTCTCATTCCTGTTTCCGCCTCTGCTCTTCTTTGCTTCCCTTGCTCTGCTCTGGCACTGTCCTCTCCTTCCCTGACCACCTCTCACTTGGCTCTTGACCATTCTCGTTCCTCATCTACAGCAAAGCCCCCGTCCCCACAAAGAGCTCGCGCAGGCACCTCTGGATCCAGAGAAACCACTTCTTGTACTGAAGCACCCATATGCTCCTACTGACCTGTGTTTTTGAAAAACATTTTTTGTATTTATTTCTAGGAACAAGCACAGGGAAGAGCGATTTGAGCTGTTAAATTCACAGCATAACTCGCTGTGCATGTTTTAGATTTCACATAAATCCTTTGTATTTCTGAGGTTGCATTAGGGTGGGATGAACTGTGGTAAACGGCTCTACACAGGGTAAGAAACTGAACCTTACTATTTTAACACAAAAACCATCTGTTTCATCTTGAAGTGTGAATGTAGGGTTTTCTCTTACAATGCCATACTATTTGTAACCTACTAGGAAATTCCACATATGTCCAAACACTGGGCTGTATTTGGAAATGGTATTAAACATGAGAAAATAGCTTTAGGGTTGGTAGGAGAACAGCACTGATTGGATTTGCAAATTCTGCTCAGTCAAAATTTCTGCAGTAAAAAATCCCAGTGGATGCTGCACCTCCACCCTCCACCTGCAGCCTCGGGCTTGATTCTGCTCCCCTGCAAATCCACTGCAATGCTCCTGTTTGCTTGCAAGGCACCTGGGACTCACTGGAAGTTTTGCCTGAATGAGGACAAGAAGGTTTGGTCCCTCCTTTTCATCCCCAGACTTTGCAATCTCTCCAGACAGTTTGAATTTGTTGTGTTTAATAGAAATATAACAACTTATAAACTGCAAAATCACTTCAACCTCCTCTAATGACTTTCTGAGAAATCCCAAGGGTCACAAAGCACTGTGGATTAGAAGCATATTTAAAGAGATTAACCATTAAGACATTTTTTCCAAGGCCAAGGTGAACAATAGAGAGGTGCCACTAATTTGTATTGCACACACCTGCTGAAAGAGGAACATGATGTGGATCCACAGCGGAGGCTGCTGGCTGATGAGGGTAAAACTGGATTTACTGTACAGGCAGTAATGGCCCTTCAGGGGACAGCTGAAGAACAGCTTTGCTACACAACTTCTAACAGTATCTAGAAATAAATATACAGAATATTAAAATCAACTACATAAAAGACAGAACGCTAACTGTCCATTATCAGTGTACGTGCAGTCGTGCAGTGCATGGGCATGCATTTCCACTACGGGGGGTATCTCAGTGTGGGGCAACTCCCACGGCGTTCAGAAGGGCATTGCTGTGTCTGCGCCCTTAAATTAAACACAAGCCATCTGACAGTACTAGAGAAATTCAGTCTCTAGTGCTTTAAATCTTACATACTAATCATTTACTCCCAAACACAAAAGATTGAAGACGGCGCACAGTCAGGCTGCTTATCTTCTTTGTGCTTTCTCATGCATTTGGTACCGTCGTTTAGCTTATCGAACCAGACAGATCTGTCAAAACTGTGCATCACTTATTCTTATTTAAAGAGTTTGTTGGAAAAACCATCCCATATTAGTGAACAGCCATACGGGGGCCTGACATCAACCAGCCATACGGGGGCCGGACATCTGCGGGATCCTTGCCGAGACTTTGCGCAGCCAAAAGCCAGTGTCTGTAGGGACGGAGGAGCGCAGCGCACAGCTCCCAGCCAGTAACGGGCTCATTCAGCTGCAGGTAAAAGCTGCAGTACGTCCCCTCTTTGCAGTGAATCCTCCAGGAGCCAAAAGATGAATAAATCCATTTACAATGCTACTGTGCATGTAGCATGTTTCCTGTGTGGGCCATCTTATAAATTCATCACCAGAAATACCACAGTTTCAAAGAAAAGCGTTAGTGAGCGTTCACTGAGCCCTGCATCAGTGCGGGGAGCCGATGTGCCAGGTCCTGCCCCATGCTGGGAGGGCTCCCAGCCACAGCCCCTCTCCCCAGGACCCCCAGCCCTAGCTCGGGTCTGTCTGAACCTGCCCGTGCAGAGATGCTCTGACTACAGCCTGGCTTCTAGGGGCTCCAGGTCCAACAAACCCCGCTTCATATCAAGCATATATGCTACCGGTCTGCTGGTCAAACCCAATTTTTATACACTAAGTCAGGGAGCTGGAGGTTTTGCAGCTGTTTGCCGAGAGGCACAAGGCACGAGGGACGGGAGTCATCATCCCTTGTAGTATGGCAGCAACAACATGACACAGTGACTTGCTCAAACCAGCATGCCGGTGCGAGGCCAGCCACTGGCAAAGCCCATGGGCCACTACTGCCAGCACAGCCACAGACTTTGCAGCAAAAAAACACACAGAGAGGAAAAGGCACGAAGCTCCAGGTCCAATGAGGACAAGAGACTGCAAATGCATTCCCAGTTACCCACAGGGAAAGGTGGGACATGTCCGTTCACAGCTGTGACACAGTGTCACCCACTCAACACACCGGTTTTCTCCAAAAGTGCAGTTTGACTCACAGTCCCAGCTCTGGGGCACTACAGACGGACAAAGCATCTCCAATTCTCACTGCTCTGTCAAATACCGACCATTTATGCCATCTGCAATCACGTCATCTGTTGATAAAAATCCCGCAGTGGTTACGTGCAACCTGAAGGTGTCCTTTGGGAGCAACTGCTCAGTACAAAGCTACGTGCTATATAACGTTACCTGACTCTGAACTTCCCATGCTGGTTTTAACTGGAAATGAAGCCCTTGAGATGCACAATTCTGCTTTTGCAAAATACTGACCTTGAACCCTCATTTTCTGTCTTTGGATGAATACTCATAATGATAACAGCATGTTAGGCATAACCTAATCAGACTTCTTTATTAACTTAAAATAGCGGCATCATTTTATAGCCCCTTTGAACAGGAACAAGCAGCTATCCAAGGTAAAAAAGGCATGGAAAACAAAAGATGGAGAGCATCAGATGATGACCTTGGTGCAAACACAGGGGAGAGCTGCACCCTCTTCACCCAGCTGGAGAGTTGAACTTAGAAGGGGAGGGGAACAACTGGTCCCACCAGCTGCTGCTGCTGCACTCATTTCCTAGCTAAAGGCAGAAATGACAGACGGATGGACAGAGAAGCCGCCCTGCAGTGGTCGATGAGCCTGCTAGACTGATCCACGCACAAAGCCACCGTGGCTCACCTCTCCTAAAGCCCTGGCCTGCCAGCACCTGCGGGGTGAGAGCCAAAGCATTTTCAAGGAGAAGAGAGAGGAGCGTAGGCTCCTGCACAGTCGGCCAGCCAGGTCTCGACGTGCAGCATCCCCAAAATGAATCGCGCCGTTGAGAAGGCTGACAGGGGCCAGCTGTGCAGGGAGCATTACTCAGTCTCGTGCTATCCTGGTGAGTCACCACACGGTGAAGGCGTAGGAATAAAATGCTTTAAGAAAATATCCTAGCTGGAAAAATGAGTTGTAACTTTTTAGAAAATGTGGCTAATAAATAGCACAGCCTTCTGGATCTACTGACAATGAGAGCCAGCAACAAGGAAGACTGATACCAGAAGGCAGCTTTTCTGTCCAACAACAGACCATCTTGAAGTACTTGTTGTTTCTAACATTTTTCATCTAATCAAGATATGAAAGCATAGGAGATAAATGTAATAAATTCAGCATTTCACATAAAACCACAACGTATGAGGAATGAGTCTACCAGAGGTACAAAAGGATGGGTCCCTAGAGCAAAAGTATCAATGGATCAGATTGTCACTGAAACCGCAGAAAATTAAAAACTGGAGTGTTGGAACCTGCCAAAGATGCTACAGAGAGGCCAGATGGCTGTCAGGCTGGGAGAAAAAACTTCAGAAGCTGGCAAGTGGAAACCACTTTATTATCCTTTGACAAAGCTGTTTGAATTTGCTGAGAAAAGGAAGTCACCAGTGTCAAGCTGGGGCTGCGGAGCTCATTGAGACTCCACCGTAGCACAGGAGAAAAGATCTGAGTTGTAAAGGCATGGGAAGATTAAAGTTAGAGTTCACAAAAACCAGTAGAATCACTACACATACTGTGGGGAAACACACACAAGCCAAAGCAATGCATAATATTTGGAAGCGACCACAAGGACCAAACCAGATTGTAGCCACCATAGAGCAAGGGATGACAACAGCACTCCTTCCTCAGAGGAACACTTACATGGTATAATCAGCAACATCAGAGCAGATGAAGCTGGGATTATCTGGAAACCAGTGGGGTGTTCACTAATCTTTAATCACAGGCAGGTGCATAAGCCAATATGGGCCCTGAAGGAGGGATGGCAAAAGCAGAAGAAAAGCCAGAAGCACTGGGAGGTCAGAGGGTCAGACCAGGCGTTGAGCTTTCCTCCCAGAGAGGGAGTTCATGAACCACGTCAAAATGATGTTGAGCTGAACAGGACCACAAACATCATCTGGATCACTCCCCTCCAAAGAGACAGGAAGAAAGACCTAGACCAGCCCCGGCTCTCCTAACCCATGGGTGAGCCAACAAGAAAACCCATCTGTGTTTGTCTCTAGAGAGTATATTTAGCAGAGGACAACTCTGAAGATGTTTGCTCTGCTTTGAGACAGCAATGGAAAGAGGAGTTGAAGTGGGGCCACTGCTCTTGGCGTCACCAAACATACAAAAAAAGAGGCACGCTCGTTGGTGTTAGGAAATACGGCACTCTTTCCTCTTGTGTAGGCCTGAAAAAATGAATATATTACAGGAGAATGTCGCCTTGAAGAAGGGAAGGATCCACACAAAGTGGTGGCTTGATGCCAAGCATTGGGCATTTGTAGGCCACTCTTTGAAGAAGACAATATTGATTTGTGCACATTGACTAAATCCAGTGGAATGTGGAAGTGCTGTCTGGGTCATGTCAATTGCCCGAGCACAAACATACTCTAAGATCTACAGTGGGCCAACATTAGAAGCACGCGTATGACCATAAGCTTTCAGCAGTACAAAGCCAGGGCTTAAAGTTAAACCAACAAAGATGCAAATGCTGCTAAACTGAGATAACAGCTCTGAAAAGAAAACTAATTTAGCTGCGGATCACAGATCCATCATGCCCATAAGCAACACACTCACCTTAGCAGGAAAAAGATCAGGCATAAAATCCACTACTCTTGGATTAGTGGCTATGGGGAAAAATTGAGTTTAACCTAATTACCCAAACTTACTGGTTCAATATAAAGAAGGAGTTTGAGAAACTGAAGGGGTTAATCAGAGCGACCCTAAGTCCTGGGACATATTAAAGCACAAAACTAATGATGTCTTCAAGGAGGCTGTTGACAGAATGCTCTTCCAAGAGCATGGTCGAAACTGAAGACCCCTGGTTTATTCATCACAGATGCTAACCAAACCTTAACGTTAATACGCTCAACCAGAAGTAGAGGCTTGGCCTTCGTCCATGTGTGTGAAAAGTTTAATGCTTCATTATGGGAAGTCACTCTTAGCTAAAAGTAACCATAGACCATGTACTGGCACCGTGGAAGGAGCTGGCAGTCGATGCCTTCCTCTTCAGTCAGTACAGTGGTTATTTTTTCAGTTACAAATGTATGAATTTCAGCCTGGACAAAAGGAGGCTGAGGGGAGACCTTATCGCCCTCTACAACTACCTGAAAGGAGGGTGTAGCGAGGTGGGGGTTGGTCTCTTCTTCCCAGTAACTAGCAACAGGACAAGAGGAAACGGTCTCAAGTTGCACCAGGGGAGGTTCAAGTTGGATATTAGGAAGAATTTCTTCACTGTAAGAGTCGTTAAGTATTGGAACAGGCTGGACTCACCATCCCTGGAGGTGTTCAAAAAACATTTAGATAGGCACTTCGAAACATGGTTTAGTGGGTTTAGTGGGCATGGTGGCGTTAGGTAGAAGGTTGGGCTTGATGATCTTTGAGGTCTCTTCCAATCATAACAATTCTATGGTTCTATGATTCTATGAATTGACAAGAAACCTGGGAGGCATTTAAAGGCTGCAAGCAAACATTGGAGTACATTAAACAGCCATGCAAGAGAGCAAAGTCCAGAGCTAGGTCTCTTGTCCCCCATAGTAAGTCCTCTTTAAATCCACTGATTAAATCCCATTTGAGCAGTCTCCCACAGAAGTCCTTGCAGCTGTGAGCAGAAGGTGGTAGAGCTCCAGGATGCCAGCCCCT